CCCGCCGGGCGTGGGGAGCGGGGGCAGCGGGGCGGGGGGAGCGGGCAGGGCCCGGGGCCGTGCCCGGGTGTCGGTCCGTGCGCGCTCCGAGGCTGCTGGGGGGGGTTTCAAGTCGGGTAAGTAGAAAAGCTGCCGTGTGTTCTCAGGAAATGCTGTTCTCTCTGTTTTTTCCCCTCCCCGGCCTGGCGTTTCGCCGTCTGGGGGGAGAAGCGCGTGTTGTTTTTACAGGGGCTCCCCTGCCGGGTTGTTGAGTTGGCTCCGGGGCTTTCCTCGAGTGACATGCACGTAGACTTCCATATTCTGGTCGTTTTACCATCACCTGTTGGGCCTTTGTACCTTCCTCACCTCTTCGCTCCCCCATAAGCTGTCACGGTGCCCTGGATGGTGTGGGAAGGGAGGTCTTTAGTCTGTTTTGTGTGAGACTGACAATGTGTGTGCAGGTAGAACATCTGCTTAGTGTTTCAAAATATAAAGGGAATTTGCAAAAGCTGATAAAGCAGGGCCTGTCCCTGATGTGTGTGGCAGCTGAAGTCGTTCTGCTGGTTTTGAGGTTCGTGGTGTAGCTAGTCTGGTTCCTTGCTCTCAGTCCAGGTTCTTTAGTGTAATGTTTCTGGGACAACCCATTTCCTCCAGGGCATGGGAACAGCACTACAGACCTAGATGTGAAATGTGCTTTTTCTCTTCCCCATCTCCATTTTTAGATTTCCTGGTAAAACTAATGGAATAAATAGGTTTCTCTCTTAAATCTGTGACTTAAAGCTGGTGGGTTTTATTATTTTTTTCAAGTCAATTAGTATCTCCTGAAAAGAAGCAACACTTTTGACTTTCCTGGAAATTCTTTAGAGGAATTTGGGAAGGGGAGACACCTGATAGGCCACTTTCTGAAGGTGAACGAAAGAAGGAGACTCACCAGGTCCTGCTTTATCCACCTGCAGAGCTGACTGGCTGTTCACAGCCTGATGTTCCCAGCACCCTGAAGCTGGAGCCCCAGCATCTCTCAGGCCTCTGAGAGGGCACACGTGTAGCAATGTGCAACTCCTGAAGTTTGACCTTGGCTGGCAAGTGCAACTTCCATCTGCATAGGAAATCTGTCAGTGTTAAAAATTAGAACATTGGCTAATTTACATACACTAAATTTTTAAAGCTGAATAAACCCTTGGATGTTATAACAGTGGTTTTGTGTGGGTATTAACTTTGGGGTTTGCTTTGCAGTATTTAATTTGTGGAGACTTGTGTCTGGCTCAGTGTATTTTTAGTTGATTTTTAATTCCAGGAGAGAGCTGGTCCTGGAACTTGCAGAGTCTGAGAAGAGATTTTTAAGTAGTTAAAATTTTAAAAGAAAGAAAAAGAGGGGAGAGAAGGGGGGGAAAAAGCTTAGTTTATAATTTTTGTAGTACCAAAGATAATGAATACATGCTTAATACATTAGAAATGAACTTATAATAGACCTGTCAGTTTGTCATCAATTACAAATGTAATAAAGCAAGTTAATAAAGGTTTAGATTAATAAAGGTTTACTGCAGAATACTATAGAACCAATTAACAGAAATGTTGCCGGGGCAATAAACAGCACTTGTCAGATGTCACATACTTAGACTACAGTTTTGTTTTATAATGGTTGTAGTTCCACTGTGCTTAAATAGCTGTTTGGCTTCACTGCAGCATTTTGTTGTTTTTACTGAGACACTGGAATGTTTCTTCCTTAGTGGATTAAGAAGGGATAAATGATGACTCTAAGGAAGAGATTATTCGTTTTAACAGGACTCTGGCCTGACTTTGTAGCATTAAGATTTGTTCAGCCTTATGTTTATTTGAAGTTGTAAGAAAGACTATTAACACTAGTAAAACTAGTGAATAGTAAGCTATATTGAACTGTAAAAATATTTAAAAATAAATGAAATAATAACTAATTAACAAAAAAAGAAAAAATTCTAGTAACTGCTGCAAGTTCACAGGGGACAGAGCAGCTGAGGATGCTTAGTGACTGTGGCTGTGTTGCTGTGGGGGGCTAGTGCCCTCCCTCATGCCAGTGTTTGTGAGGGACAACTTTCCTTCTCCAACAACCTCCTGACTGATCATCTGTAATTATTCTTGCATCATCAGTTGAGGCAGAGTGACAAAAACCCAAGGAGAAAAGGGAGAGCCAATGAAAACAGGGAAAAGGTTTGCTCCAGGCTGAGCAATCCATCCTGCCAAAGAGCAGGGTGAGGAGGGGTGTGAGCTCTGTTAATGAAGTGTGGGATAGCTGGAGGTTGGATGGAGGGCAGCTCATGTACCAGCCAGTGGTGTGTCAATGGCAGCTTGCACCTTCCCTCTTTCCTCCAGGCACTTCTAGTACCTCTTCGTTAAACCTGTTTGCATTGAGTTTTCCATCCACCCTCGGTGACTGCTGGGCAGCCACCTGCCCACAGACAGCAGCAGGCTCAGGCTGGCCTGCTCTGTGCTCCCTCCTGCACCGAGCACGAGATGTGAGCTGTGGGAGATGCACTTTCAGTCACAGCCTTTATTCAGCTGTGGGGAGCCTCAGGCCAGCAGCCTTTGACACAGGGTTGGAGGATCTCTCTTTCAGCTTCCTCTCTGCTCCCTGCTCAAAATGGAGTTTGAGAACTGCTCAGAAAGCTTTAACATTGGTTTGGCCACAGGCAGACACCACATTGACTCTGTGCTCCCCTTTCCATTTGATTCCAGTTGCCCCTTGGTCTGTAGGTTGTGTGACTTTTCCAGCATTTCCTTCTGCCAGTGCCTGTTACAAAATGTGTTCTTTATCCATGACATCGGTTTTATAGCAGCAGTTACTAGTTATGATTAGTAGTAACTAAATCACACTGGGCCCTTGTCTCCAGTTTGAAGCTAAGGACTAGAGCAGATTATACAGGAGTATTTCTCTGCTATCTGTGTGACCCAGGGTGCCACAGTGAGACTGGAATGTGCATAGTGCTGCCTACACTAGGAAACTCTTTACAAAACCCTGTTCTCTGTCAGGTACTGAATGATGCACTGTTTCTTTTTCAGTATCCAAGAAATGTCAGAAGGCTCGTGAACACTTTGCTACAGTCAGAACACAGCTGGAGTCTCTGAAGACCAAGTTTCCTGCTGATCAGTATTACAGGTGTCTGGGATCACACACAGACAGACATGGATGTGGAAAATGCCTGGGCATATATGGTATCATTACTCTGGGAGAATGATTTCAAGGTTTATGGGCCTAATGCTTCCTTCTGTTTGAAAAGTAAATCATGGTAGAGGAGGGTAAGGTTTTTATGAACACAGCTAAGAAATGCTTTTGCTCAAAAAATCTATAACTTTTCACTGAAAAGATCAAGTATTGCATTCTCTTTGTATAAACTTTTTTAAAAAAGAAAAAGGAAATAATAAGAAATTTATGCTTATTGGAGCTGCCCTTGTTTCTGTGAGCAGAGCATTTGCTGCTCCATTAATTCCAGTTAAATTGTTAGGTTTGGGGCATTTCTAAAAACAGAGCTCTAAATCTGCCATGAAATGGCTGTGTGATGCTGCAGATGGTAAATGAAGCTGTCACCTTGGTGTTTTGTTTGCTGCCAGAAGGGGACAGTGTCTAGCAAGAACATTTCGAAGAACAAGAACCTTGTCAGCTCATATCTGCTGAGGGAAGATGGGAGGGGAAACCCTGCTAATCCTGTGGGCAGGACAAGTGGAAAAACCCCTGAACTGAGTAGGTGTGTGGGAGGTGTCCAGTGTAGGATCTTGGGGGTGAAATTTTGGAGTACCAAGGACATGACTTTAAGTTGGTGCTGTTTTGGTAAGCCAAAAATATTGCCAAGTGCTACCTATGCATGAAGGTGGAAAACAGAAGCTGTGCTGCAGATGTGTAACAGGCCTGTTGCCTGACTCTCTAGTCATTCAAGTTGCTTATTTATACCTTGACTTGGTGTTTTCTTCAACAGATTTCACGAGCACTGGCGGTTTGTGCTTCAGCGGTTGGTGTTTCTGGCAGCATTTGTTGTCTACTTGGAGTCAGAAACACTAGTGACCCGAGAAGCTGTTGCAGAAATACTTGGGAGTAAGTTAATGTTGTAACTGAAGAGAAAAAGCTTATGAGGTCTGGAGGTGGTGTAGCTTTCAGAGGTACAGGGAAACAGCAGAACTTCATTTCTACCCCCCCCCAGAATCCTAAATGTATCTGGTACATTTCTTTGTGTAAACAATACATTATTTTAGAAGGTGGAAACTCAGGTGAACAAAAGTACCTATTAATAAGGGCTTTGTCAATGAAGATTATTCACTCAAATTGCCTAACTCTACCAAAATAATAATATAAAGATGAGAGCTTATTTTTATCAGTTTTTGGTGTTATGGAAGTCTGGAAAACATTACATTTTTTATGCTGTAGGACAGCTCTGTCCTCCTAGAGCAAAGGATTTGAAACATTGGGAAAACTATCCCTAGTGACTAGCAACAGGACAAGAGGAAATGAGGTCACATTGTGCCAGAGGAGGTTCAGATTGGGTATTAGGAAAATTTTCTTCACAGAAAGAGTGGTGAGGCATTGAACAGGCTGCCCAGGGAGGTGGTGGAGGCACCGTCCCTGGAGGTGTTCAAAAAACAGGTAGATGTGCTGTTTCAGGAGATGGTTTAGTGGTCACTGGGGTATAGGGCTGACAGTTGGACTTGATCTTGAAGGTTTTTTCTAGCTTTAATGATTCTGTGATTCCATGATTTTTCTAAAAAGGGACTACACACCCCTCTCCTATATATTAATGTAAATTCAATTATTCTGTTGGATCAATTATAACCTCTTGTATGTCCAGTTGAGGATGTACAAGATGCTAAATCAAAATGCTGAGAAGACGCAATAATTACATCATGTACAGGAAGAGGCTGATTTTTATTTCGTAATAGTATTTCATAAATTTGATATTGTAAATTAGCTCCAGTAAACAAATGCAGTTTTCCTCATGTTCTGTACCACTCTGGTTTTCATTTCAGTTGAAGCTGATCGAGAGCGGGGCTTTCACCTGGATATTGAAGACTATCTTTCTGGTGTATTAACTCTTGCCAGTGAGCTGGTAAGAAAGATATTCGTGCGTATATTTGGATTTAAATTGACCTAACATAAAAAATAAGTGTTTTCTAACTTTTCCAAATTGTTCCTGGAAGTTATGATATGCAACACCTTGATCTGAACTTCCAGCAAATCGCCTCTCAGTATGCCAGGGTTGTTCCTCACTGACATTTTCAGAATTAAACTAGACCCTTGATTGAAAATCCAGGATTATGGTCAAGAAAAAGGTAGATCTAAGTATATCTAATTGGACTGCCTAGAAAAAAACTGCTTCATTTGGGAAAGTAACTGATAGGAATAGTGGCCCGATTGGGGTGGGTTCTTCTGCTGATGTTCTCCTGTGCATTTTCCTCTCGCAGTCCAGGCTGGCAGTGAACAGTGTCACAGCTGGAGACTATTCTCGCCCTCTCCGCATCTCGGCTTTTATCAACGAGCTGGATTCCGGCTTCCGGCTACTCAACCTGAAGAACGACTCCCTGAGGAAACGCTACGATGGCCTGAAATACGACGTCAAGAAAACCGAGGAAGTGGTTTACGACTTGTCGATCAGAGGACTCAATAAGGAGGCAACGGTTGGTGTGGGTGGAGAGAAGTGAAGGATGCTCAGTTTAACAGCATCACTGATTACCTCAGATGGTTGCCAATCCGGGAGGCTCGCTAGCAAAGCCTTCCTACATAGTTTAGAAGAACTGCAGCTGAAAGCTGCTCTCTATTTTCTTACCGGTGGTGTAGTACGGCTGTTGGATCTCACAATGTTTTGTAAAATCATATCCAGATTAGGGCAGGAGGCTCTTTGTTCCCAGTGGACTTCCTCTGTCAGAACACGATGCTGTTCTGTGCACAGCAGCAATAGCCATTAGTAACTCCCATGAGCTGAAATTCGCATTAGTTCTGTAGTGCTGCTGCTGCTCTGGCAGTGCTGCCACTGTCCCCTCACACACCTGCACAGGTGTGCACAGCACGCAGCCCAGCGCAGGCACACAGTGTGTTTTAGGGTGTAAATACCTGTGTTTTTTTTAAGACACTGTTTTTTGCCTTTTTCTTTCTTGTATTTTCACCTGTGTCAGTAAGTTGAACAGATCTGCATAACTGTTTAATTACCACATCTTTTTAAATGGTTTCTGTTAATGTATCCCCCTTAATTGACAAATTAGTCAAAATATTCCTGGGAATTTCTCCATCAGAACTGGTGTATTGCACCCGGGTACATCTTGGTTGTTCTTTCTCTCTCTCTTGTGTTTTTTCTTTTCCTCCAAGATTTCAGTTGCCAGGGATAGCAAGGCTTTCTCAAACATCTGCTTTCACTGGCTATTTGTTTTACTGACAAGTAGATGCTGATCATTTGCCTTGAGAACTTGGTGTAACCAACATGTTTGGTTTTTTTAACTACCAAGCTTTCCAAATAAAGATGTGTTAAGTGATAAACTGCAGGTACCATCTGAGTTTTAACCACCTATATAGGCCACAACTGTATGTGCTGGGATTAAAAAAACCGCAAAAGCAAAACTTCATGTAATAAAATGTTTGAATCTTCAGAAAAGGGAAAATTACTAGTTTCAGACCCTTTGCATGTATGATGTTTACAAACACCAACAGCCTCTCTCATATCTCCTGGGGTGTTTGTTCTCTTGTCCTAAATGACTTGGAGTTTTGCCTTTCTCATTCTGGTGGTGCAGGAGCGGTAACAAGAGAAACTTCTTCAGGAGGATGAACACAAATGGTCACATTTATGTGGGGTTTGTTAGTGTTTCATTTTGTTAGCAAAGATTTCCCACTGTTTTAGTTAGGGTTTTGGTTTGTTTTTTGGAAGAAAATTATTTCTTGATTATTTTGGCCAATAAAAGCTGTTCTTTGATTTTGGTCATTTGGTAATTCTGCTTGTTGTCTGTTGTTATTTGCTTCTCTTCCTGGGAATCTACTCTGAAATGTCATAATTTAAGCCCAGCCTTGAGACAATAACAGGACTTGGACAACAACAGGACACCTAGATGTGGGCCCACTCCTGCCCACCAGTGAGTGGTGCCTAAGTCAAGTTGCCAACAGATTTCATAGGCTTTTTAAAAATTATTTGTAACTTTTTACCTGTTTCACCAAGTAAAACATGAGAAGTATGGAGGAGCTTATCGTTACCAAATCCAATATGTTGTAAGGTTCATCTTCAGAGAATCATTTTCTTCTGCTGTGAAAGAGGGGTATTGCCATCTCCCCAGGTTACGTGACCAAATTAAACAGGAGAGGTAGGGAGGAGTTTATCATTACCATGTTAATCTTTCATGTTTGTCCTGTCACATATTGCAGGGAGAGGGTAATATCTGTCTTTCACAGCTGAAAAGGTGTAACTTCCTGAGCCCCATTGCAATAAGACCAGCTTTCAAAGCAGCTCTTTGTTCTTGTCCTACTCCACTGTTTGCTTCTTTCTCACTTTAGCCTTGTGGAGGTGGGAGGAAGGAAGGAGCTTAAGGAAGAAGTTCCACTGCCAAAACCAGAGACTAGTGAAGCAACACCCTAAGACTCCAAGACAGCTGTGCAAACCAAGGTCACACAGGAAATGCGTAGGAGCAGGGGAAATAAAGAGAGGTTTTCTGAGCATCGGTCTGATGTCTCTCAGGCTGGAGGACTCCTGGCATGCAGGACAGGGATGTGAGGCCATGTGGTGGGGCAGGTTTCTAATTGCAGGACAGGTGTTTGATAAGGCTTTATGCTTTATGTCCCAGGTTCACTGGTTGCATTTAGTCGTGCAAAAGGCCTGCTTCCTGACATGGGGTCCCAAGTGCTGATGGAGGCTTTTCAGTAGATCCTTGTTCTGCCAGCTCTTGCATTTTGCATGGTTTCCAAGAGCTGGTGAGGACAGAACAGCACTGTGCAGAGAGACACAGCTACTGTGGGAGGGACAACTGAAAGAGCAAGTCTCTTAGGGCTTACAGATCCTGTGGGATCCTTCTGTCTAAGGCTCTGTGGAGAGCAAGTGCTTGAGACTCTCCAACATTGTGTTCCCAGGGGGTGTTTAGCAAACACCTTGTTCTTTCCTGTTCCTATGTTTTGGAGAGCCTAGCATCATCCTCTAAAAAAGCATGATTTGTGAGAGCCAGGCTGCACAGTTCATTCCCCAGCCAGGCCTGGTGAAGGGAAAAGGAAACCTCAAACTTTCTTCCTAGGAAACAGCAGGGAAAGCCAGGGATATGCTTTTTTTGGTGGCTTTCTCTACACAAAGGTAGACTTTAGGACCTTGTGGCCTTGATTGTGAATCTGCACATTACTCTGGATCTAAATGATAAGTTGTGTATCTGTCCCAGAGCTGGGAACGGAGGCTGGAGGGGAAGACCCAGAAGGACTTGAATAAAGGGGTTTCTCTCTTTGCTGACCCTTCCCTTTCCCAGGCGTACTGGGAGCAAGTCGGCCAGTGGGGAACAGCAGTAAGAGATGGAGCTCAGAGGACTGCAAAAGCATGATGGCTCATGATGAATCAGATGCACTTGAACTCTGAACAAATAACTCCCGCTGGTAGTGAATGGAGGGGGCAGTGTGCACTAGCAGCTGGGAGGAGAGTGAGTCAGTGCAGGAGTCCTGGAGAGGCTGACTCAACAGCCAGCACAGCTATTCTCTGAGCCACTCCAGCCTCAAGTGTGTTCCAGGGAGCAACCTCTTGGACCATCTTTGTGTTCGCTCCCGTTTGGGTTCCCCCCCCAACCCTGCATCTTGACGTAATTTCTGTAGGTTTTCTTTATTTCAGTATAAAGGGCACTTACATAGTTGATTAGCTGCTCTTTATTTATAGCACTGCCTGTTAACCCCCTGCAGATCAATGAAAGTGCTGACCTGAAATCATTTGGGAAATAAGGGTGGACAGAGCTCTGCAGCACAGGATGCAGAACAGTGCTTGGGGCTTGTTGTTGAACTGGGCTCTGTCTGCTGGAATTAACTGCAGCAGGAGACCAGCAACCTCTTTAAGATGGCACTTGTTAAAGGACATGTCATCACCTCCAAACTGCCCTTTTCTAGTGCCAGCACACGTCTTTGTGCAGTGAACTGGATCAAGGAGCTGATCTAGCTGAAACAATCTCTATTTTTCAGCAGTGTTTGCTGCAATCCTGTTTACCACACAGTCCCACACGGTGCCTCTGTGTGTGTTGGGAGGCTTCTTCCTCTCCCTGCAGTGCCAGCTTTCAGTGTTCCCTGAACTGTAACACTGCATGGTCAATTGTCTGTTTTTTTTATTTATTTTATTTTTCAGTATTTTAACTGCTTCCAGTTCTGTTTGGATTGCCAAGGGTTTCCTCTTTGGGTAAATAAGTTGCCTTCATTTTACTGGGAAGTGATGACTTGCGTGCTGTGGAGCCTCACTTGCCTTTTCCAGCTGGTAAGGTCATTACACACCGAGGCAATAAACGAGCAGAAAGGAGTGACTCCTGAGGTCTGTGCATGGCTATTGACCTGTTACTCATCAGCAGTCCATCTTCCCTCATTAAAGTACTGCCTGTTGCTGGATGCTGCAGTGCTACTGTACTCAGGTGTGTGTAGGGGCTGTTCAGAGAGCCTCCTGCCTGCTCCATTTGTGGAGGGTCATTAAGCCAGTGTTTGATGTTGAAAGGAATGGTCCTTTACAGTATCTATCTCCTGTACACATGCTGTGAGTCAGGCATGAATTACTTGAAGATGGGTGTCTCTTTGCAAGTTTCTCTGCTTATGGGAACTTCAAACTGCAGCACTTCTGGCTGGTTTAGTCATCTCTGGAGGGCTGCCCTGCCCAAGGGGGAAATGGCTGTCCTAAAAGCAGCCCCTTCTTGACAAAAGAGGGAAGCACTCCTTGTCTGAGTGCTCGTTCATCTGCACATTGACACTGTGGGTGTACAAATGTCTAACCTGCTTCTGGTGGGGAAAATGTAAGAGCCTGAGCCCTACCAGGGCACTGCCTGCTCCCCAGCCCAGTAGGGAGAGCTGTGCACCTACCTCTGAGTCTGCACCCAGGCCCTGTGCAGCTCCTACAGGTTTCTGTGAAGTCTGATGCCCATGACAGCCTGTTGGAGACTTCAACAGGGATTGCAGAAAGCCTAAAAGGAAGAAAAAGCCTGGGATTTCAGCCTCTGTGACAGTCCAGGGCTATACAGGCCTTGTGCTTTTCACATGTTTTGGTTACCCCAGGCATCAGTCATGGGATCTGCTCTGTCACTTTCTTGTGACCTCCAGGCTTCATCTGCCAGCACTCCCCACAACACCCAAAGACGTTTGGTGCAGATCCTCTCCAAGCATGTGACTTTGGCACTCCAAGAGAGGTTCCTGTTCTAGGAGAGAAGGGTTCAAAGCCACCTCAGGCCCCATCACTGCTGAAAGAAGGAGTTCCTTTGCCTGCTTATGTGCAGGGCTCCTTCCCTGGGAGGGCTGTTTGCAGTCTGGGTCTTCTCACCTGCAACTGAGATAATTTCTCAGGGATGCCAGTGCTGATGGAGATTGTACTGGGGCAGGATATGAGCTGGAGAGTTGCAAATTATCATTACATTCATCTCTGCTAATAGGCCTAGAGCCTAATGCCAGCTTTTCAACTTTTTCCAGCTGTGTAACTGCTCCCAGTCAAGCCTGGGCAGAGACTGGTGCTGGAGGATACTCTGCCTGCATTCTGATCCCTCATTAGGGTTCTTCACTCTCTGTTGAAGAGGACCCTCAAAGTTCCTATCACTCAGCTTTTCCATCCACGTTGTAGAAAAGTTTTCCTTAGAGGACCACCTTCAGCTTCCTGAGGGAGATGTTTTCCTTCCTAATGAGTGCCCTTGGCATTTGCCTGGAGGTTTTGGACTGTGCAGTGTTAAACTTTGATTTTTTAGTTATTTTTTTTTAATTGCTTGTACCTGTATCTAGTCATATTGATATTCTGCAGCAGCCTCTGTGAAATATAAGGGAATTTCTTTGTCTGCTTCATCACTAATACTTTTTGGTCCATCATATCCCACTGTAGTGACAGAAGGTCACTCCATGATGACAGTGAGATCTTCAAACATTTTTCTGATCTCCACCAAAAGAAGTTTCCTTCATTGCATTTGGTTCCAGGTTTTTCCAATTTCAAGTTGGAGACTATCAGCCTGATTCCAGCTGAATCTCACCTGGTTTCCCAGCATACATTTAAGAAGAGGCATAGGAGAAATCACAAAATGAGTGTTACTACAGCTGCCTCTTCCCTGAGCCCTGAAGGGATATCTTTGACCTGGCACTAGAAGACTCAAATTATCTTCCCTGTGAGGATGTCAGGGACAAGCAAGAGAGTGCAATATTCACCAGAAACTCCTCCTGGAGATCTGCTTCCTTGGATGTTAGCTCCGTAATAGATTCATGTGCATTGAATGACTTAAGTTCCTCGAGGCGCAGATCTGACACAGTCTCAGAGCTTTCTCAGGTTTTGGGATGTGCTGAGGTCAATCTCTGAGTCTCCAATGACAGCTACAATAGCTTCTTGCTGCCAAACCAATGCTGGTCCTCTCAGATGTGTTCCTGATCACCCTGCACAGGCCCATGCTCAGCACCCCTTCTGCACCCTCACTTCTGTTAAAGACAACCAGGAATGTACAAGGACACCACAAAATAGAGGATCTCTGTTCACTAAAGCAGAAGCCTCTGTCCTTTAAAGTATTTGCTCTTCATCTCCCTGTGCTTTTTTTCAGGCTTTCCCACTCAGCCTGCTGACTCTTAAAGCATCACAGAATCTTAGGGGTTGGAAGGGAGCTCGAAAGATCATCTAGTCCAACCCCCCTGCCAGAGCAGGATCACCCAGAGCACATCACACAGGGAATTGTCCGGGTGGGTTTTGAATGTCTCCAGCGAAGGAGACCACAACCTCTCTGGGCAGCCTGTCCCAGGACTCTGTCACTCTCACAGTAAAGAAGTTTTTTCTGATATTTACATGGAACCATCTATGCTCCAGTTTGCACCCATTGCCCCTTGTCCTGTCACTGGACGTCACTGAAAAAAGCCTGGCTCTGTCCTCCTGACAGTCCCCCTTAACATATTTATAAACTTTGATGAGGTCACCCCTCAGGCTCCTCTTCTCCAAGCTAAAGAGACCCAGCTCCCTCAGCCTTTCCTCATAAGGGAGATGTTCCACTCCCTTCATCATCTTTGTGGCTCTGCACATCTACTCCCTCTTTCCTTGGGACTTGGTCTCTGAGGGGGCTCTTAACCCAGTGTTGTGTCGTCATCTTGTGTGTCTGCCTTGAGCTCAAAACTACGTGGACTCAATGATCAAGACTGCTGCTTGTTGTTGTTGTCTTCCTCATAAACAATCAGTAGAACACATCCTAAATTCTTGCTAAAGGTCATCTATGAGTTCTGATAAATCAAAAGAGTGATATGACATCCTCTTTTTCCCCTTAACATGGTACCTCCATAAAGGCCTGCTTGTATTATTCAGCTGTGTTCAGTGAGCAGGAGTTTTGAAAAGTAATCTTGGTATTGTCAGTCATGACTTCTGAGAGGCATAAAAATATCACAGAGCCCTAGGACGGCCAGTTTGGAACAAGTAATTGCTTTCTTGGCTTATAGACAACCATGTTCTCAAGAACCCTGGGTTGTGATAGCATTTTGTCAGGTTTGTTAATCAGAAATGGAAAAATACAGCACAACTAATCTCCAGTGCTGCCAAGTAAGATGTGTACACGTGGTACTGAAAGACCTGGAACTTCCCAGGAGAGAGATCATCTAGTTGAGAAAGGTGCCCAGGGATTATGGAAACTTACTGCCTTGTCCGTGTGCTGACACGCTCTGCCCTTCCTGTGCAGGCTCACCCCACAGCACCAGCACCCACAGGGCACAGAGATGGTGCTGTGCTCGTGCTCCCTTTCAACACCTGCAATGTAAAGGCAGGCGAGCAGCTGAGTACACACCGGATACATACAAGACAAATAACATTGGAAGCACAACCTCTGCCCAGTCTGACAGGTTCAACAATCAGGCTGTCACTTCCCATAGCAGGCTGTCCCAGATCAAAGACCTTGTACTGTTCCCTGGCCATGGGTTTTTTAGGACAGGGCTACAGCACCAAGTACACGTCCTGCTTGTAACTCAATACCCAGCACTTATTTATGGACCTTCTTTTGGGGAGGGTTTGCTTGGTTCAGAGGAAATAGGCCATGATTACTAGGAGCCTGGCAGGCAGGTGTTTCCTGTGATACCTAGAAAAACCCTGAATCTGACAAATGGAACAATCAGCCAAATGCAAGATTGATGCTAAATATCAGAGCTTTTACATATACTTATTGTTCTCTAACCTTTTTGAACAGCCAGGGTGACTGAAGGTATCTTGATTTAAAGATACGACTGTACAAACAGTCCAAGGCTGGTTCTGAGTATGAATTGGTGTGGAGAAAACCACTGTGCTGGAAAGTAATTGAAAACTTTCCAGGAAGCAGCAGCTTTCTGTGGCTGTGAAAGCCACTGGCTGTTTGGATAAATCAAGCTATTAGGCTCACTGTACTTTAGCCTTCCCTTATCAAAACTGCCACTGGAGGTAAAGAAGAGAAGGTAGCTGAGCCATTTTGATCTTGGGAGAGAAAACAAAGGTGCTACAAGCTGTTGCTTTTTGCACATTAGGTGGATGGGGCTTGAAGGCTGTGAGATGCAGATCTGTCATGACAGCATCAGAGAAATGTCCCTCCAGCAGCTGCCATGCTCAGACATCCATCTACTTAAAAAAACAAACAACAAACTTCTCAAAGCAATGTGTCATGCTCATCACTGGCTGTTCAGTGCGTATTTGGAGGGAACAAACAATTTATTCTAGTCTCACAATGAGGAACAGCTGGAGGGGATTCCAGCCCACTTGAGGGAGTCAGGCTGCTGCCCCAACAAGCATTTTGCCAGCTTTCACTTGCCACAGCACTCAGCTGTGTGCTGCCACCCCCACATCTTGTTTGTGTGTTTGTTCCAATGAAGCAACAACTCCCATTTCCTTAAGGACAGAACAAAGCACTAACACACTGGATGGTGCAGGTGGAGATAAAATCCAGCCAGAAAGCACACACTTTACTGCTGGTGTCTGCCTCAGCGCCCGGAGCAGTGTAACGTGCCCAGCAGCTGTGGCAGGAGGACAAAGCACTGGATGTGGTTTAGAGGCCTGCTCAGGCCTGGGGTCAGTGGTGTCTTACAACATGAGGGCTACCTACATGAAGCCTCTGTCCACCTTCCTTTGTGTGCTCACTGATGCTGGTTGATCTCTGGAAAAATACACAAATACGCTTCTTTGTGTGAATCCTCCCGTAAAACAAATGCCTGTAACAGAAATATTTTGTTGTGAGTGAATAATACTGATTAACTTTGTCTTTACCTTGGGGTCTGAAGGAACATTTACAGGTTGTCCTCTGAGATCCACTGACCAAAATTCAGGGTCCTTTAATTTAGTTTCTGGCCTTTGCTGTGTATGTCACAGTGTGACATTTTGTTGCTCTTGTAATCGCAAGGTCACCATCATTAGTAATGTCAGGCTGAAAAGGTTAAACCCTGTTTGCCTTTTTACCATTGTTCAGTTTCAAGTCATGTCCCTGCTGTGGAGCTGAGAGAGGCTGGACCTCATGGGGGAGTGTTTTGTGGCCTCAGCTTTGGCTCTCACGTCTGGTGTGCCAGGCCTGACCTGGGCAGCCAGAGCATTGGATTTTGTGCCAGTCTATTGTTGTCTACTGGGATTTGGGTTGTCTACTGGGATTTAGGGTAGCAGGCTTGTACTGTTCTCTCAGTCTCATTTGGGGTAGCCCCTGAATTCTGTTCAGGGGATTCAATGGACAGATGGATGCACATTGCTCACCTGAATGCCACCCACACCAAATGAAGCAGCTACAGCAGAAAACAAATGTTTTAAAAAAATACCCACCTAAACTCATTGAAATATAACTATTAAAACCTTTTATGTTACTCTACAATACAATGTAAATTGTTCCTTTCAATTCAATTTTTAAATACACTAGATTACATCTTTTAAATAATTGCCAACTTTTAAGTTCACTATTAGTGGCAGCAGAGCTATATTTACATACACTTCTGATATATTTCAGATGCAGGGTTATGTTCCAGTCCCTAAGTTAGTGTACTGCTTTTCCACAGCTTCTACACATATTTGGGGTGTTTGTGTCAGAAAGAAAGAATCCTTTTGTCTGCTTTTTTTTTTTTCTTGCTTTTTTTTTTTTTTTCCTGTGTGCATGCAGCTGCATCAGAGCAAATGGATACCTACTTGATTTGGATAAAAGACCTTTCTTTTCAAACAAATATTTTGACTGGATGTACGGAAGTGAATAATGAAATATAGTCCTTAGGAGTAGTGGTGGAAAACATCCTTTTCTCCAACCTTCCTCCCCTGTTGCATAATACTGCACCTAATTTTGACCCTGACTTTACCTAATGCTGATGAAATGTAGTTAATGGTGAAAACCTCTCTCATGTTGTCAAGACTGGCTTTCAACACAAACCATGCAATGGCAAGCATCATACATCATTCTCCCGCAGTGCAATATTAACAAGATAAACTCAGTGTTTCCTTCCAGGGATCTGCTCCTCGAGGGAAGCCCATCTCTGGATGTACAACAGCCACAAATGGTTTGTGAGTCCTGAAGCTGGACACCAGAACTAGGCTGTAACACTTGGTTCCAGAGCTGCTAAGAGTCTTTGTGGGCCAGGCTCCTCCCTGTGTTGTCCATAGAGCAAAGCAAAATCAAGCCACCAAGGCTCCTAATGGTCCTTGCACATGGCACCAGCCAAGCCAAGTCTCCCCAGGTGCTGCCTGTGCAGGACTCAGGGCCTGGTGTGAGGGGTGCTGATCATGATGTTGGGCAGCGCGTTCCGCCGCTTCTTCCAGGAGCCCAGCTCCCGCGAGTAGCGCCTGATCTGCCTGAACCAGTGGTGAGTCCGCGCCCGGTCGCTGTCCCGGAACACAAACGCCTCCCGCCTGATCTCAATGAGTTCAAAAGTGTCATCGCAGTCGGGATCAGTTGAGACAATGCAATTACTCAGCCTCAAGGGCTCCCTGAGCAAATGGAACTTCCCATTATTTTTGTCCCTGATGAGTACCAGCACGGCATCCTTCACAGGCCCTGGCTCAGCTGATTCCAGGCTGGACTCTGACACACGCTTCATGTTCACTAGGAGGAGGACCTGCATGTTCTGGAACTTCAAGGTCTTGCTGCCTTTCTTCACCCATTGGCCGTCAGGAGGCTGAGCCAGCTGCAAAGACCCCTCCATCACAAACCGTGTTTCCTCCCGCAGCCAGCCTACAGTTTTGAGGGCAGTTTCTCTCATCTCAATGTTGATGACTTCTCTCTTCTTCTTGCTGTCCTGACGAAAGGAGCGGAGGGTCCATGTGTTTCCCTCCTGCTTGGTTTTCATGTTGATGTGCTCCAGGTGAGACTCGATGCGGCTCTTGGCCTCCCGCAGGTTGCCATGATCTGGGTGGTAATCTGTGGTGGCCTTGATGATTCTGCTGAGCAGCAGTGGGTACTTGGTGACTCTTTGCAAAGGTGCCATCAGGAAGGACCTCAAGTTCATCCGCCGCAGTGCTGTGTTGTCATTCTGGGAGACATTGAGGAATATTCTGCAGGGATTTAAGAAGAGGGAATGAAATGGTGGCTGTTCTGCCAGCAGATGCTGCAATCCTACATGCAAAAGGACAGCATGGTGCTGACAGCTGCTGGGCACTGCAGCCTCCCCTTTGGTTTCAGCAGCCTTGTGAATTCTGTCTTCTCAAAAACCAGCCACAATTTCTGCAGCTGTGCTCAGCTGCAGAACAGTAATGAGGTGCCTGGGATGCTAGAACATCCTGTCAGTCCTCTATTAAATCGCTGTTAAAATAATGAGGGTGTGATCTTTCTCTGGTACACACTGACGTAGTCCCAAGGCAAATACACCATCTTATATCAGATGACACTAATCTGCAGCTCCTTTCATCATTAGAATACAAAGCACTCTAAGCAAGAATTTGGTACTGTCATCATTTAAGCTCTTGCAGTGGAAAGAGAGAAGTGACTTGCCTGATGTTGCCCAACAGGCCAGGGCTAGGAATGGGAAACAAATGCAAGTCATGCAAGCTCCACACAGTGGCTTTCCCCAGTGGAAATCTGAAGTGTGCTCTGGAGCAGGGACTGAGAGCTGTTCTCAGCTGGGTGTTACTTGGTGACCATTCAGCCCAGTGGTCAGGGGGCAAACACTGGTACCACAAAATACAGAATATAGTTGGGGACCAATTGGCTGCCTCAGTGGAAGTATCAAGGGGTTAATACATTTTGGAGGGTAAATTACTCTCCTCACCCCAAAAGAGAGCAGTTCATCACTGAAGAACATCAGCATCACAACTTGGATCTCATTGAACAAAGGCCTTCCTGTCCCCAAAGCCTGGGAGAATACATGCATTTTTCTCACCTGAGCAACTCCTTCTCCTTCTCCAGCGCATTGAGCATGTTCACGGAGGAGGACTGCTGGAGACAGTAGGTCTGAAAGGCTGGCAGCATGTTGACAAACTCCAGAAATATTTCACCGATGCACACAGTCATCAGGTCATCATCACCCTGCAAGCATGAAATACAGAGTTAGTTCAGGAGAGGCACAACCACAGAGCCTGCATTCAGTCCTACCAGCACGAACCCACTGCAGGACCTGGAGAGGGCCAGACCACAAGTGGAATGGGGCTCACCCTTCCTGGTGGAAAGGAAGTCTCTGCAGGTCCAGGGGGAAGCAGTGCATGGGCAGGGGAAGGAAAGCTGGTCTAACTGCTTGCTCTTTTACACATACAGAGATGTCTTTTCTGCTTCTGCAGGCTAGACCAGTGCACCAGAGCAGGGACTCAAAGGCTATTGGTCAGAGTGAGCCTGCTAGTAAGAAGAATATCCTGGGGACCTTCTTGCTGGCAGGTCTGCCATACAGCTAATGCAGCAGTCCATAAATTGAGTGTTTAGGAGCAAATGGGGAGGGGAGGCCTGTAACTCAGGTAACAGACAGGGCCCTTAACAACTTCTGCAATGGTAGTCAGCAGCAAGCCTGTCTGGGCAGCAGTCTCCTTCAGTTGTCCTCTTACTGGCTACTTTGATGACTAAGTGAAAAATAAATGTCATGGTAAATTGTTCTCTGATTTCTGGATGTGTAAGCCTAGCAGCTGTGACCTGGCACAGGCCTACTGAAATCATTGGTTTACAATAGCTCAGGGAACAAGGGACTACACAGACGACCAAAACCCAGGAGTCCTACCTCCCAATCCTCTGCTCCACCTGTGCTGCCTCACCAACACAAAACCTATACCTGTCTGCCCAGTCTGGCCTCTTCAGAGCATGCAGCATCATACCTGGTCAAAGGCCTGATCAATCTCTTCCTGGAGTATCTCCAGGAAGTTCTCATTGAGGTCGATGAGCTCCTGGATGTTGCTGAAGATGCCCAGGAGCTGCTCCTGGCTCAGCAGCCCAGCCGCCTGCATTGGGAGGTAGAACTCTTCTTTGATGATGCGCAGGTCCTCTCCATAACTGGCCTCTGTGTTAACAAACTCCAGCACAGACTCCTTGCGCTCCGTCCTGCGCTTGCAGCACTTCTCACAGAGGTCAGCCCGCCTCTGATTGCAGTTCTGCACGTCTGTCTCCACTGGGAGGTCCCTTTCTCCACAGTCAGTGCAGGGACGGTGGGCTTCCCAGGCCTGCAGGGAGCTCAAGGTTTCAGATGCCCTGTTCCTCCACTTTCTGACTGGCATCTGGCCAATGCCACTATCTGCCCTCTCCACCTCCACTGACTTGGTGCGGGTGGCCTTGCTGGGATCCAGGTCATCCCGGACATCATTCACGCCAACAATCCCACTGTCCGTGCTCAGGCTGCTGACATTGCTCCAGTGACGTCTGGAGCGCAGGGAGCCACGTGGGGCGCGGCGGGTCTCGTCGAAACTGCCACCATGGCCAAGGTTGGCTTTTGCTACCACTGGACCTGAGAACAGATACAAATCACTACAGGCACAAAGCTCACCTGAGGAGCCCAAACTGGCACACCCATGAGTGACAGGAGCCCTTGTGGGGGAGATCTGGTGAAAGCAGGGCTTCCCCCTCACTCCTGTTTTGCTGCTGGGAAAGGGCAGGGTCAAAAGTAAATGGCTCCCAGGAGAAACTTGTCATCCCTGCTCTGCCCACACCTGTGAACTCATTCGGTCCCTCTCCCCCCCTGCCATCTGCTGGGCAGGGACAGGAACACATCAAAGCAGATCCTCATTTCTTGCACATCTGGGTGAAACCCAAGACACTTCCCTTCTCCAGGTCCATATCTACACCAGTGTAGCAGGGCTCAGCAGTGCCCATCAACCCCCCCGAGCATGCAGAAGGCGGGTACCGTAGTCTCGGTCCTGCCGGCGCTTCTGCGCGTGCTGCCGCGCTGCCGCTGCGATCTTCAGCTCCAGCTGCTTCCTCTTCACCGAGTCCGTGGGCATCGGGTCGCTGAAGTGCGGCCGCAGCCGGCACTCCCGCTGGGCCTTGGCACCATCTGCACTCTCGTGGGCAAGGTCAGAGCTGGAGCGGCGGCAGCTGGGGCTGGGAATCTGCAAGGAAAGCAAGGAAAAGCAAGTAGGTTTGGAGCAAGGAAGTGGTCCAAGCGGTGCCTGGTTTGCACCCACCGGACTCTAGTTGCCAAAGGAGAGAAAACGCAGCTCCTCAGTGTTAGGATTGTAAATGAAGCTCTGCTACATGATCATTATGAAATCTGTCCCCCCAGGTCCCTCTGTCTTGCTTAGTTCATCAGCAGGGACTCCGCACCCTCTGTGGATGTGTAGCTCTGAGTACAGTGGCTCCATGGTGCCTGGATCATAGCTACCAGAATAACTGAAGAAGTCAAGAGCACAGCACTGGCTAAGGACCTAAAGGGGAGGCTGAGCCTGTCCTCCAGGGATCTGAGCTAACTTGCCCTTGTTCTCCGAACATTTCAGCACTACAGGGCCAGGAACTCCAGCCTCTGTGCCTTACCTGCCTTGGTAGTTTGGCAAAGTGGGGACTGGGAGGGCATCTGTCTGAAATCCTGGGCAGCACAGCAACGAGGGGCTGGTGGCACAATGAAAGTTGTGAGAGGTTATTGCTGAACTCCTTGCAAGAGTTGCAGTAGCAGATAGGCAAGGGCACAAAACTGACTCCTGTTTCATTAACTGTCCTAAAAAAGGCACTAGAAATACTTGTAACAGAGTTTAATCGCCCGTGGGAGTTGGTGTGATTTCAGATCCCAGGTTCCTAGTCTGCCCAGTTCCTACAACACAGGGATTCTTCAGAGCTTCTCACAAGAAGAAAATCATAAACATGCTCAAGATGAGAGGTTAGCTTCTCTCCCTTACATTATCTGCAGGTGGAGTGTCGCTGGGTGTCTCATTACTTGGCTTGTCCTCCCAGGTCTCTGTTGCCATGGACATGGCTGTGGGCTGCTGGCTGTCCTCCGGAGGTGGGAGAACAGGTTCCCTCAGATCACACTGTCCCTCTGAGGGAGATTTGGCAGCAGTCTCAGCATTGCAGCTGCAGAGGAAGAAGCAGACTATGATGAACGTCACATACACAGTTCACCTGCCATTCCTGACGCAGGTGAGACAGAGCAGAAAGCCCTGGTTTGAACAACCAGCCACAACAGTTCAGGGGAAGTGCAGGCAGGAATCTAGACTGATGGGCATGACGGCCGTGCTTGTGTTTCAGAGGCTCTAAACACAGCCCAATTATAGCAGTGCAAATGGGGTAATTGCACTCATGCCAACATCAGTCTGGGATATCAAGTTTTGGGTGTTCTCAGGGCATTTTTGTATCCATAAAGCACGAGGTTCTCTCACAGGGACCAGAAAAACCTCTTTCTAAGTAGGCCATATCCATATTTGCTGCTATTTAAAGTGATGTTGTCAACACAGAAACTGAATTGCTCATCTGGAAGAAAATCACCTGCTAAAAACCATAATACTTTGAAGAGATTAGAGGATTAAAAGAGCTTTCCCTCTGTTTTTCATCTCACATTATCACAGGCTCACTGAAACCACTGAAAGATTCCCTCTGCTTCCAGTGATCTCAGGATCAGGCCTTTTGGTGCACCTAAGAGTCCTGAAAAGATTAGCAGAGTCTGTTGTTCTCACTTGGCAATTCTGGGATGCTTGTATTTATGGCTGCCTGGTGCTGACAAAGGCTTGGCCTGGCTGATACAGGCAGCCTGTTCCAACCCAACATTCCCCTCTCTGTAGACACCACCACCTCTCCAGACAGACACAGTCTGGTGCAAAACCACTGACTTGACAGAGTAGTTGACAGGCTGTAGATTGTGATACTACTTGTGACACTTTTTTTTTTTTTTAAACAGATCCTCTAAGACACCTTATTTCCATGCATAATGAAGCCTTCCTGGATGAATATTAATTTTTTCTTTTTGATTTTACTTAATTTGTATGGGCTTGGATTTCTTTAAAAAGAAATCTTGTCAGGATTGGATATGGATGTTTGTACATAGAAGAAGCCCACGTCAGGGACATATTTCAGGTTATTATATATTTTATGCTTAACAAAAGGGAATGTTTTCTATGACAAAAATCTGCTTCTTCTTAAAGGCTTCAATTGTGAACTTCTGCTGGTAGGTCACACTGCTAATGTGCAATTCCAACACTATCATCTACAAGCAAACACATGAGACAGATGGGCACTTTTCTTTCGGTGAATGACAGTTGCTACTGGTAACAAACCATCAGCCACTACTGAAATTGCTAAAAAGGGAACAAATCTCCCAGAACACAAACTAACTCTGTTGTCAGGCCAGAAAGTTGGTTTGCAACATTCTAGCTGATGCTTTTTCAACTTCCTCCATTTATGCTTCTAGGTCCCAGCTAACACTACCAGAGGATTTACCAGCTTAAAAAGAGCTTAGCCACAGCTGCACAGCAATGACACAGTGCTAACAGCAGGCTTCTCTCTTTTGCTTTTGCTGTGCCAAGTCCCTGCTAGATGGATTTGGAAGCGTCACTTCACCCCTCCAGGCCTCTTCTTTCCAGCCTGTAGAAAGGTGACACCAACACCAGTGCTGCCCCAGAGCAGCCTGTTCCATGGACTGTGTTAGCCCCCCTACAGGGCTGCAGGAAGAGCAGCACAGGTGCACTGCAAGGATGTGGTCTCACCATGGTACTGGCCTAGCCTGGTCCAGCTTAAGAGGTACCTGTCTCCTTCCTCCCTCCTGTCCCCAGCCACATTTGGGGTATCACTTCTTCAGCCAGTCCAATGTAACTGTGTGGTCATGATCTAAAATCAGTCATTAAATGATCTGGGTTTAAAAAAAATCCTCCCTTATGTATTCCCAGCTAGACCATTTCATCACTATTTGAGTTGGATAAAGCGTGAACAGTTCAGCTGGGCACACTTGTGGGGGAGATGGTGGAGGTTAGGGAGCAAGAAAGCTCCTGAAGAGGATCTGCCACTGCTAGAAAACCACCACTTCTAAAAGCTGCTCCTGCTCAGACAGCTTTTGGTTGAAACATGCAGAAAGAAGGAATTATGGTGAAGCACAGAGAGGCAGGGGGATGTGTCCACACTCAGTAGCAAAGCTCAGCAAAGGAATATTCTCCTCTTGATCACACCACCTTCCATCATGCAGACCATACTCTCCAAAAGAAGCATCTGCTTTCTTTCATGGTCTCTGTGGGATTCTGCATAGTTTTATCATTGTCCAGGCTGGCAGTCCTCAGTCCTTTCCACATGTTCCTGACTCTTTCTGACTAATGGAAACATTTTTGTCTGCTCTTCCCCTGCGGTCACCTGCCTTACAGACTTGGAGTCCTCTGCTATGGGAAGCTGTTATTCTACCCACCATCCCAGTGTCATCCCAAACACAGCCCCACACTCAGGAAGCCTTCTCTCTTAGTCATGTCTTTTGCTTCCCCATGCATCTTAAAATAAAGAGACTTAAAATAAAGATGGCCTGAATGTCAACAATCATAACTTAGGACCCAAAGCAGCCAGGAAAAAAGTCTTTCACCTCTGCAGTGAGAATAAATTTACATTATAAATTAATATTCAGGCACTTTACAGTCTCAGGTAAAATGGTGGAAAATTGAGAAACTTCCAGACTAAAGAAACTGGAGTTTCCCACTAACAAGTACTTTGGCACTGCCAGCAGACTTGTTTTCCTCCTGCTATCCTGAATAAATTACAAACTTTACCATTAATTGTTATTACTATGGAAAATAAACAGGCCAGGGTGGTTCTTTCCTATGAAACAACCTCTCTAATACTGGAATGACCATCATCTTTGCTTTTAGATCAATTATCATTTTGGTATTAATAGAATCACCTCATATATTTTAACAAATCCACCTAGGGAGACACAATACATTCACAGAAATAAAAAACACTGCAGATATTAAAAGCACACAAACCACATTGAAACCATAAAGGCCCTGGGCAGAAAATGTTTGGAGGCTGGGAGGGTAGTAGGAAGGAAGATCATATGCACTACCCAGTTCCTCTATACTTTGCTTTGCATGCTCTTCAGGCTCCTGATACTAGTCAGACCTTTGATCTTCCTAGAGACACCTGTTCTTATGCTCTTACTCATTACTTTTGCCATTCTGTGTATTTCATTTCATATCAATGATAAAAATAGCCTACTGAATGGAAATGGTTGCATCCCTAACTTTCTCATCTGTTTCTTCATTGGGTTTTCACAATCTAGGTCAAAAGCACAAAGGTAGGGCTGGACAGCTGAAGGAAGTATTTAGGGCTCTGACCACCGCCTACTTCCCTTTGGATTATGAAGCTGCAGAAGTATTTCTGCTTGTCACTCTGTCTACATGGGGAGCTTCAGCTCTACGGAAGTTCTTTCATACAACTCTCACTCTTGTGCAGAATTCACTATCATCTCATTTAAAACCTGAGTCTAGTCTCAGAACTCTAGCATTCCAGAAATACCAAGTAATGATATGATGCTCTGGCATTTCACATACCACATCTGTCAATCTGCCTGAAGCAGCCAGGAACCAAGTCAAATATAATTCTTGGCAAAGCCAGTCCTGAATATCAAGCATATGGAAACAAACCACTCCACCGACATTTACTTCTCCTTTTCCCATCAGCCTTATGTAGAGTCAAGACAGTAATAACTGACCCAAATTTCTAACTTCCAGAACTTTGCTGGTTCCTCTTGGTCCACCTGCTTGTGTAGAAAACAATCCCCATTTCTTTGGCAGGAGGGAGGTAACAGGACTGCAGTGTTCAAAAACAGGATAGAGAAAGCAGTCCTTGTGAAAATCCTACCCAGAGAAGGGGAAAACGTGGTTGGAGAAGAGGGAGGAAGGATTTACACAAGTACTTTCTGTCACTGTTTACACTGAGTTGGCAGAAGAACATTATTTCCAAGTACTTTCACTTGCAGCCGTCATGCTCTCATTTGTTTGCCAGTTCACTACGTACAGGTCACACTACCTAAATCTTCTTTCAAATGTATTACATTAGTAGTTCGTATCCCTCTGCTGTCCTCTACTTTTAACAGAAGTTAAAAAAAAAACCAAAACAAAAGACCTTTCAACAATTTATTAGAGAAATAAAATGGGTGGGAAACTGGGTGTCAGGGCTACTAACGGCTGCTGCCTGCACAGGATTAAGGTGTACAAAAAGGCAAAGTTTAGATGTTTCTGATGTTTAATCCCAGGCAAAGATGGAGTTTAAGCTCAACAGCTTCAAGACACATCCTTGTGGCTATCAGAGACCCTAAGATGAAAGGCTCTGCCAACAGCATATTTATGCTATAGGAGTTAAATGTACGTATCAGGAGTGAGACTAGACTGTTAATAAGGGAACTGCTTTCAGGTAACCCCACAGAGCATGTTACCTTTTCTTAATAAGTTCCAGGGCTGAACCTATGAATTCATCCTTCATTTTTTGTAGTTTAGCTCCATAGCTGGATAAGTCTGTGGCTTCTAACAGCAGCGATGAACAGCAAGAGGACTGGGCTTCAGAAGCCAGGGACTGCCCTGCAAGATGGAGGACATCATTTAATTGTCTTGTCTCCCCTTTCTGCTGCTCATCACTGAGGATCTCCTGCCCAGCAATGTGTATTGCTACTGCCTGCAAAGGTGATCTTGGAATAGGGCTAGAGCAAATGGGGACCAGGGATCTATCCAGGCTGGAGATCAGCAATGTTCTGTCCTTCACCTCAGGGCTGCTCATTCTCAAACCATCCACTATGGCTGGATACAGGGAAAAGCCAGCAGAGGTGTGGTTTTCAGGGAACACATTGTCATCATCCTCTGCTGTGACAGTGGCTTCATTCACAGCTTTGGTCCCCAGAGTTTCTGGACAGACATTCTTGCTCTCCTTCTCCAGCATCTGGTTTGCAGGCAGACCCTTACTCAAGCACTCTGTTGGCCCACTGCAGCTGGCAGATAAATTTGCCTCCTTCCTTCTCATTTCCTTGAATTCCTCAAAGGTGGGTATGTAAAGACTCCCTTTGCAGTGGCCTTTCTTACTCTGTCCCAATGTGGCTTTGACATCTGTTTCCCTGCTACATTGTTCCAGGGTTTCTGCTGTTCTGGATTTGGCCATCTCATGGCTTTCCCCAG